TGTGCACGCCCGCGCGGGTGTTGCGCACACGTGGCATGGTGCGGTGCTGGCGTGCGTGGGTCTCGTGCGAGCACCCACCCGTGCTCTCTGTGGGTGCAGGGGAGGAACTGATTCAGGAACCGACAGATGAAGCGGGGTGACTGCAGCAGGGTGGGGGCGTGAGCAGCCATAGGGCACCTCTGTGGTGTGAGAGGCCATTTCCCTGAGCCTGGTGATGGCACTAAGGGAGAGGAGGCGAGAACAGCCTCGGGACTCCTCGCCCACCTTCACGCCTGTCCCGCTTTGCTCTCCAGAAGCTGCTGGCTGAGTGCCAGGACCAGCAGTGGTGCCAGTTCTCGGTGCACAGCCAAGTCTTTGGGCCGGACCCATGCCCTGGGACACACAAGTACCTCATCGCTTCCTACAAATGCCGGCCAGGTGAGGTGGAGCGGGGTCTGAGCAATGCTGTGTGGGGCTTGGCTGCTCAGAAAGGGGCAGAGAGGGGAGCCGAGCTGCTCCTGTATCTCGCAGCCCTCCTCCAGCCCTGCCCTTAGCAGCTCTCAGACCCTTGGCTGGACTAAGGGAGGAGGGGGCTGCAGGTGATTCGGGATACATTGGGACGCTCTGCGGTGTCACTCCCCAGGGAACCATCGAGTCAAGACCGTGTGTGAGAACGACAAGCTGAGGCTACAGTGCCGACCAAAATCCATCCTGGCCATTTATTCTGCAAGTTATGGACGATTCCTGCGGGGCAAACCGGAGTGCGATGCCCTGAACACTGGGGGACCCCACATAGGTACACCAGAACAGCTCAAGCCAGAAATGGGGCCAGGAACCATGCAGAGAGCATGGCATAAATATGCCATCAGGCTGTACCTGTGCCCCTTGGCCCCAGCTGACTGGTGCCCAGCGGGCAGCGTCAGGCAGGTCTCCCCACAGGTCCATGCCCCATGTCTTTGCAGAGTGCTTGGCTCCAGACGCCCTGCGGAGGGTCTCCAAGAAGTGTCACCGCAAGGGGAACTGCACCGTGGCTGCTGACCAGGCCACCTTCGGGGACCCGTGTCTCCCCGGCACAAAGAAACAGCTGCGAGTCTCCTACACCTGCGGTGAGAGCCATCCATGGGGCTGGGGGCATGGGGCCCAGTGGCTGAGCCCCTGCTGTGCCCGCCCTGTGCCACGCAGGCAGGGGTGCAGGGCTCTTTGGGGACTCAGGGAGCAGCTGGGGACGAGCAGGGTGGTGGTGCTCAGTGTATGCTCTTCTTGCAGTGCCCAAGCAGCTGCTGGAGGAGGTGGGCCCTGACACCTCGGACCCCTTCCTGCTCTCGGACTACATGCATGGTAACGTACGGGGGAGGCTACGCCAAAAGCGGTGTGGTATCATGTCCGTGCCTGGGTAAACCACCCCTTCCATGGCCTCTCTGCGTCCGTGGTATCCACCACCGGCACAAGCCCTGCAGCTCCATCCCAGCATCGCTGTCCTGTGGCTGAAGCCACCCATCGGTCGGTGCCCATGTCTGAGGGGCTGGAGAGATGTGGTCTGCTGGTAGCAGGGGAGAGGAGGACCCACAGGGGAGCATCCCCACAGGCAGAGGAGCACTTGTGCAAGAAAGGAGTGTGGCGTGGGGAAGAAGGCAGGCAGGGGCAGGCAGCCGGGCAGCAGGGTGCTGGAGAGCACCTCACGTCTCAGCCCACATCCCCTTGTTCGCTGCAGGTGGCTGGTACAAAGGGCCCAGGTTCTCCAGGCTCCGGGAAGACCGGATGATTTTTACTAGCTCTCTGGCAGCTTTTGCCCACCTTTGGGGTACGTGCTCTCCCTGGCTCTCATGCAGCCCCCGGAGGAGCGGGATGGGCTTGGGAGGGTGGCTCAGGTCCCATGATGACCCCCGCTCAGCCTGGGGCTCGGCTCAGAGGCAGCCAGACCCCTCCGGCAGGGTTGGCAAGCACATGAAGGAGGAGGGCGCCACGCGCCCATGCTGGGTTTGGGTGGGCCCCACGTAGGGTGGGAGCTCAGAGGTTGAACAAGACCCAAGGTCCCGCAGCATCAGCGGTCACAGTGCTGCTGCAGTCCTGCCTGCAGACCTTCCTTCTCCAACGGGCTGAATTACCTGCCGGGTCTCCTTCCTTCCTGTCCTGTCTGCAAGGGCACTGGTGGAGAGCACCCCTCTGCGGGCAAAAATTTCCCTTGCCAGGGGAAATAACCCATTTAAATCCCTGGCGAGTTGATTCCGCCCCCTGAGCTGCCTACCCCATATACCAATGAGGGTTTCCTATGGGGAAAGTGGGCACCACCCACTGGTGGGTGCTGATGAGGCTCTGGGTGATGCTCCCACAATCACTGGGGCAGAGTCTGTCCCACCCCTGCAGCTGGGGTGCTGAGGGCATCCCTGCTCCCCTCCTTTTCCTCCCATGTGCCCGGCAGAGGGGGTTTTCCAGGCACTGGTACCCCGCAGGCTGTGGAGACAGTTTGTACCCTGGTGTCTCTCTGCTCTTCACGCCCCAGGTGTCCCAGAGAAAGTTGGCCTCTATTTTCTTTGTGGGGTCTCAGGAGGCCTCATGCTCCTGCTGTGCATCATCAGCCCCAAAACAACCTTCCTCCAGGAGGTGGGGGAGGCTCTCAAAGACCCGGAGCTGGGGAGCAGCTCAGAGTTGAGCAGGACCAAGGTGCAGGACGAGCGGGATGAAGACCTTCCCGACGACAGCTCCTCAGACTCCTCCTTCCGCCACCTCACCCGCACCTACCGGGCCACTGACAGCATCTTCAGCCCTGAGCTAACGGCAGCCATGGAGGGAGCGATGGAGCGCCAGGGCCACAGCGGGGAGGAGATCTGGATGCCCAAGGAGTCGAGCCCATATGCCATCCACAAGATCAAATCGGCCACCAAATAAGAACTGGAAGAAAGTGGCCAGAGAGCAGCAAGGGGCAGAGGCTAAGTGGGATCCGACATTGGAGAGACACAAGAGTTTGGGCTCCTGGGGTCAGTGGGCATCCCGAGTAGCAGCAGGGCTACAGCAGCCCCAGTGTGGCCATCAACCCACTGCCCCACCAGCCTGGAAACCTCTAACCCAGGGGTAAGATGTGGTCCCTGGGTGTGATGAGGGGCTGCGGGATGGCTTGTGGAGCCGCTGGCTCCTTTGCAGCAAACACACTGCTAACTCTACGCTAACCTCCCCGTTCTCAGCTCGCATCGGCTGGCTCTAGCGCTTAACCCTGCTCAGCCACACCGAGCCCACCAAGCCTTCCCAGGCTGTTTGCTCCTGCTTGTTCTTGGGTGCTGGCTTCCACCCCTGGTGCTGCAAACATCCCCCAGCGCTCAGGCAGCGCGCCAGCGGCAGAGACACAGATATGGCCAGGACGCGCGGGGGGACGCAGGCGGAGCGGGTGGGAGAGCGCCGCGAGCGTCACCCAGCACAGCCCCACCACGTCACTTGCCTTGCGGCCCTGGCATCCCCGGGGGAGCTGCACCCCAGCGCTGGGGCAGCTGGCAGCTTGGCACAGCGGTGGCTGTCACCTCCCTGCGGGCGTTCAGGAGCTCTGTCACCCTGTGTTGCTCTGTGCTTTCCTTCACGCTTCCCCCACTGGCGGGAGAGCTCTGGAGTTAACTTGCTGGGGCTTTTTCCAGTAAATAAATGCAACAGCTCGTAGACACAATGTCCCTCCCTGACCTCTGCCATTAATAGTGAAAAGAGAGGAAAAAGGAAGCGGCAAAGCTCAGCCCTCCCTGTGCGGATCAGCTCCTTGCCTCCCACCGGTGTTTCTGGCACTGGGCCATGGGGAGCAACAAGTTGGGCCTGCTTTAGCATGGGAAAGGATAAGGTTTTAGCCTGAGGAAGGGAAAGGGGAGAAAAAACAGTCCATGTGGATCACATGAACAACACTTCCCTGCCCTTGCTCCTTTTCTTGAGCCTGAGGCTCGCTGTCTGGTAAGCAATCCTGGAGCCAACATCCCCAGATGCCACGCAGAGGGGCTTCTCGGCAGCCCTACGGTCCCAGGGAGCCAGGCTGGGTCTGGGGGCTGCTCCAGCTCCAAAGGATAGCGCAGGCTCTGTAGTGCTGTGGGAAGGGGCCGACTGGAAGCAGCAACCCAGCTCTTCTCACAATAGGGACACTCCAGGCACTGATGCTCTTGAGCTAGCACGTAGCAGGGTCTATTTTTCCATCTGCCACCACACAAGAAGTGCCTAGGCTGGGCTGGGTGCAGCAAGAGAGGGCTGCGGGGCATGTCAGTGCACCCCTTAACCCAGATGCTGGCGTTGGTGGTCTGCTGGGGGCCAGAGAGGCACCAGCCAAAGCTCTGCAGCCAGAGCCGCACTGTGCTCAGCGGTGGATGCTCTGCCGGTGGCAGAGCTGAGTGCCATGGCATTGCAGCTGCCTTGCCCTCCTGCTCCAATGAGTGCATCCTGCGTGATTTGGGGGCTTGCTGAGGGATGCCAGAGCACAAGGAGAGTTTGGGGGGGCTCTCACCTCAAACCAGCCTGCAGCATCCTTAGATGAAATGCAGGACTGAGACCACAGACTGGCCTTCATGCCTGGACAGCTGGCGCAGCTCCTGCTGCAGACCCATGGCATTCACCGTGCAGAGTCCAATGCTAGTTCCGCTGATCTTTCCTCCAGTACCCCCCGACAGCCAGGTAGGATTTTGGCATGTGTGGTGTGAGCCGCAGCCCCTGCAGTGGGGCTGGGCTTCCTGAGAGCCTTCCAAGGAGTGGCTGCACGGCAGCGCTGGGGGACTGGAAAAGCCAGCTTCCCTTTGCCAAGCCTAGGCAAGACAGGCAGACGCAGACCCGTCAAAAAGCAGGCAGCTTGCCCAAGCCCCCGCAGAGCCGCAGGCAGACTTGGATGGGGCTTTTTGGCTGGGGATCTTATCCCACAGGCTGATGCACCGTGTTTCCATTGGTGGTGGGATGCGTTCCAGCACTGCCTGGCGAGCATGCATCCAACTCTTATTTTTGTCTGGAGTGTGCACTGCCTCAACATGCACAAGGAGAGGCAGACACCTGGATCCCACAAGGATCCCAGACTGACAGTGAACAAACCTCAGGGAGCTCCCAGGCCAGGGTCAGCAGCAGCGGCACCAGGGGAGCTGGAGCTGGAGAGGACAAGTGGTTGAGGAGGAAACAAGATTGGCTGGACCCACAGCAGCCCTGACTGGTTTTGGGGACTGAAGGTACCCAAGGTCTGTGGGATCCAGGTTTAAACCCCCACCAGCCCTGTGAGTACCCCTCAGCCATGCAGCACCCCAAAGCCATTCTGCTGCTCCTGGCTGTCAGTGGTCCCAGGTCTTTCTGCTAGCGATGTGGCAGAGCTGCCTGCACGCAGCCAGAGCTGCCCTGCCTGTCAGCAAGGAGAAAGGACTGATACTGCACGCGTGGCTGCTGGGCAGCAGGTTTAAGTCCCCTCAGAAGCTGGCACTGGGACGTTTCCCTAGCAAGGGCTTCATCAGCTCCACTAGCAACAGCCACGCGTGGGTGTGAGATTTCCTTGGGTTAAGTTTAGGAATCTGGAAGGTTTTGCTGGCAATCTGCTGGCTGGGGGAAGCTCTCCTCTGCTGCAGTGCTCTGCTGAGCTTACCTCAACTTGGGGGGGTATTCCTATGAGCCTGAAGCTTGGTGCACCTCCAAAAGCTGGAGAGGGGGAGAACCCTCTGCACGATGGGCAGCACATGTGCCACCTGCCGTCCCCGTCCGCAAGGGAATTGGGATCAGGTCAGAGCATCCCCAAAGCCTCTGGGGCTATGGGAGCAGCTCACATGGTGCACGAGCGGGTCAGGGGCTGCCCAGCAAGAACCACCTGGCACAACCAGGGTAGCTCCTTCCCTCAGAGCCACCTTTTGCTCCCACCAGCCCAGCTCAGTGTGCCCCAGTTGAGCTCAGGTGATGGGCATGGAGCGAGTGCCTCCCACCACAGGATCGCAAGCAGGGGTTACCTCTGCCCCCCGCCGCCGCTGCCGCCCCTGCTCCCATACTTGTCATGGCCAGCTGTGACATGGATGTTACTCAATGCCTCCATCCTTCCAGAAAATTAGATGCTGGGGGGCAGGTGACTGGCTGGGGGCTCCACACTCGGAGGTCAACCCCCACCTCTTTCTGATCTCGGCAGGGGATGAGAAGCAGAAGGATCCTCTGAGAACAGCTGAGCCCAGCAGACAGGAGCGGAAGGCGGAGGAGGAGGCAAGAGGGACATACCCTTTCCCCCAGCCATGCTGCAACATTTTTTGGGGGCAAGGGGCTTTCTCCCTGGCCAGCATATTAAACAGCACCTGCTCATGCCCCGTTTGGGGCTGTGTCTGCAGCAGTTGGTCGTATCCCTCAGAGCTCAACCAGCATGGGTGAACTGGTGGCTGCTGGTGCCACCCCTGCCTGGCTAGTTGTGATGGATGCCCTTGACCCCTTAACCAAACACGTGGTAGTTTGGTACAGGCTCCAAAGGGTGTAAAGGCCTAACCGAGCCAAGAACTTCTCTAGTTCCAATCTGTTCTCTGAAAACCCACAAAGGAGCAGAGTGACACAGTGAGCGTTGATGCATATGAGCTTGGAACACCGATCATGCGATTAACACATGAAAAGCGGGTGGCTTTTCCAAGACTCATTTATCAAGGAACAAAGAAAGTTGTGAGAACAAGGAGTCTCATGCATACCTTTCCCGTCCCATGCAATTTGACTGCAAGCCAACCACTTTATTCCATAAATACAACAGCTTGCGTAAGCCTTCTTTGAGCTCTCCCTGCTAAGCAGCTGGCTGTGTGGCAGTGATCTCCCCTCGAGTTGGGACACCCTCAAGGTTGCTCCTCAAGGGAGGGAAACCTTTCACCAAAGGCAGGTCTTTGGTAAGCAGTATCGTGCATAACTTGTATTATGGTAACTCTGATTTGTGCTTTGGTAACTTTGATTTAGTCTTGGCAACTTTGACTCTGCCTTAGTAGTTCGAATCATTGTGCAAATGATTGTGCAGTGCAGTAACAGAGTGAACCTTGCCATCAAACTTCGTTAAATCGCACTTTTACAACATCATGTTAAAACCACTCAGCATTGCTGATACCTTTGACAGTGTTCTTTAAGCAATCTAAATCACCCATTCGTGGTTCACAGGAGCTGCATGGCCAGCCTGGGCTACACCCTGCCCCGCAAACCAGAGACCCCCAATCCGCTGAGAAAGGGCAGCCCCGGTGTCTGGGGGGTGACCCGCAGCCCTGGCCGCAGGCAGAGGAAGCGGGCAGCAAGCTGGTGTCGAGGCCCCTGCCAGGGCGCTAGGCCGGGAGGCCTCCGCAGC